CAGCTAGCCGCCCAAGGATAGTTATCCTTTAGAGCCTTTAACTATTCGTCAATTCTCCTAGAAGGGTAGATTTCATTAATAGAAAAATAAATTGCGAATTTAACAGGACTAAACTTTCCCGATCCTTAGCCTCAAAGAGAAAATCTGCCTTTGGACGATGACGTCTACGATGCACTATACAGCATCTTAACTAAAGAGAAATCACTGCGCGATTGGCCTGAGAAAGGTGACAAAGGGTTAAGGCAACGGGTTTATCGGAATTTACAAAGCGACAACTATGCCGTGAAAGAAATCCATGATCCGACAGTTGGACAACCGAAGAAACGAATAGTCGAAAAGGCAACTAACTGCATTGTGTTGAAAAAAATCGGATATGTTTCTCAGCTTGTAGATAGTGCGTACTACGAAACAAAAGGGGAAGGGGCTAAAAACTTGAGCAAAAAAATGTCTCAAATTTACCGTGGGTTATCACGTCGAATCTGGATTCAATGAAGCAGCAGCAAAAACTTAGACCTCTTTTTCAAAATAAGGCGCCTCTCCGGCCAACCAAGGCATCAAAAGTACAAGAAAGACATCAAGTGGATCTTGTAAGCATGGTTAGCATGCCGGTTACGATAGACGGTGATACTTATAAATACATAATGTCTGTTATTGACATTTTCAGTAGATTTCGTTTCTTACGCCCTCTTCAAACAAAAGAGACTAGTGAAGTGGCGGAACATCTTTTAGACATTTACATCGAACGTGGCCCTCCAGAAATTTTGCAAAGCGAAAGTCAAGAATTTAAGGTAGTAGTAAAGACAGTTTGTGAAACGCTGAACGTTCGCATAATTAAAAGCTCTGCATACAGTCCCCAGACCCAAGGAAAAGACGAGCGTTCAGTGATTCCGTGACACTTAAGAACAAAACGAGGTGGTTTAAAGTAGATGATGTTACCTCAGTAACAAAAGAAGGAGAAAATGACCGACAGCAAAAGGCAAAGAGTGACAGTGGGAGACGAAATGATACTCGCAAAGGCCATTAAGCCGATTCTCCAGGCCAACCAGCGAAGCGAGCAAGAACAGACAACGCCAGTTTGTTAAAAGCCAGCATCGACCTGATATTCTCCTCGGAAAAGCTTAATGGTGACACTGTCAACTTGCATTTTGACTTTTTGAGAAATAGTCGGGCATTTGGAGGAGGGAGCTGGGGATTTGCAAGTTCCTACTTTTATCCTTCATTGCATCGACCGGTCGAAACCTCTACATACTCCAAATATCATCCACACTTCAATGCCCCAAGCAAAAGAATGATACCGACTGTGGTGTATTCACATGTCTTTTTGCAAAACACTTATCGTTGTCGAGAGGCAACCATTCCGGCCTTACTCGCAACGGAGAGCCTCGAGATGAAATGGTGAGCGATTTATTAAATCTTGCGTCAGCTTTGCGCGCTGAAAACGATTTACCCAAAGTTTTCCGGCTTTTTGGGGATTCTTTGTTGGCAGAAGCTTACTGGCAGTCTGCCATCCACTGGAAAACTTGAGAAAATTACATAGACGAGAATCTTACGTCGTTTCAAATGACTCAATTCTTTTGTTGGTCCTGGTAGAAAAGAATTAATTATTTTATCTTTGTCTTGTTGTTTATTTAATTATCTACAGACAAAATTGAGTTTGCCTCCTTCATGTACCGGTTATATGTTCTAAGAACCCAGATGCTGCAAAAGATACATCAGAAAAACTTTATAATTCATGTAGTTTAAGTTTAAATTTGAATTGAATTAAGAACAACTTTCATGATTACAATAATGGAAATCAGTAATGATCAGGATGATATTAATTGCATCAGCAAAAACGTTTTAATTCCAACTCGAAATTCTTTTATTTAAGAGAGGAACAGTTGTGGTAAGTTGAAACTAAAAACATAAGTAAGTGCTAACTTAACTTAGGTAAACAAACTACAAAAAAAAAAGAATACAAACAAAGCGAAACGGACAAAATACTTAAATTGATAATATGTAATATAATAGTCTAATATATAACTGCAAAACCGACTTCTAACACAGACATCTGCGCCAAGTGCGACTTTAGGTAAACTGACTTGAAAAGCCATTATGCGCAAAAGAAACTGGCTTTAAATACATGATGACCGCGAAATAACGTGCGGTATGTGAAACGAGCTAAAAGATGTAACTAAAGAGGAAAAACGCTAATAACTTAACAAAAAACACCAACGAGGAGGTTTGAAAAAAATAAAGAACGGAATAAATAAATACGAATTACAAGAGAAATAATTAGCAAGGGCTTAGATCTTACATTAGTGATAGCACTGCTACAAGAAACGGAACAATAATAACAATGATAAAGAACAAGGAAATGGTTATTATCCTGATATGATCCATATCTGTAATTCGTCTCTAGAATTTGGAATCATGTGACACAACCAGTCTGACAGAGCATTTAAATGGTCACAAGTTGTAGGGCCACAAATAGTAGGTTACCAGTAAAGTGATTCTAATATGACTCGCAAGATTTGACCTGCTCGTAATAAAATAAGAACATTGCAGAATGTTCAACTTACGTGATCAAAAGAAGACTTTCAAATTCTTTGTAAAATCTCGAAGCCCACTGCGGAGAAAAAGCATACAACGGTTGTGAAAATATGGTTAAATAGTATAAAAGATGACTTTTAATCACACAAAAAGGAGAGCGCCAAAGTGAGGTTTTTTTTTTAGGTAATTGCGAACGTTGATTTGAAGGTTTGCTGAGTTTTAGTAATTTGTGATCTTACCTAAGTTGGAGGAAATCAAAACGTATTTGGAAATTTACCTTGAAAGCAAAAGCTAATCCCGCGAGCATTTCGACTTTGCTTCATTAAATAATAATAGTACAGTGACTCTGTCCGCATGAGGTAAATTGCTTAACAACACATACATCAATTTACACCGGCAAACTAGTCAAGCAATCCCTAGAGCTAAAAGCGTTATTAGAATTTTAAAAACTTCTGTATTGATTCTGGTGTTTTATTTATGGTTTAAAGCATAATAACCCTTTTCATTCGGTTTGGATTAGTATCTCTTGCACTATAATTTTCCACTTCAAAGGAATTTGTGTCTGCTGCGAATTTAGGCTTACTCACTGAGAGAATTATCATTTCAAAGGGAAGGGCACATGTAAATAGAAGTAACCCTGAGGAAATTTAATTACATTTTTCCTCAAGAGCTACGTTTCAATGCAATAACAACAACATTGAAATTACACCTTTCCAATGTCATTTGCATAGTCAGGTAATTACATGATTTCGAGAGCAATTCTGGATAGATCAGCACGAGAAAATTTTTCAGCATTTAACCATTTGCACCATTTGCACAAGCCCATAGGATGAGTGCAACTTGTAGTCTATGACTCTGTTTTCTTCTTCAATTTTTTTTTATTTCGTGACATGGCTCGTTGGCTCGGCCACTTGCCTTTGCCTTGTTGCCGGAGTAGTCGGGCATTTCCCTCAAGAACTTGCTTCAAGCTTTAAAACTCTCTACCACGAATAATCGAACGCTTTTACTCTTTTTCTGTTAGTCATCGGTTAGCAGTAACCATTACGCGAATGCTATCCCACTCGTAACCTTCCTTGTCTTTCAGATTCATAAGAACTGTTGCGTAAAACTCCCCGAGTATTTTATTCAGGAGCCTCCGATTCACACTTTCATAGCTGCCTTTGAAAGCTCAAGTCTTCCAGACGTTTGGCTAGCGCTATTCCTTTGTTAGGTGGTCGTGTTTTTGCATTCTCCCTTAAACATTGAATTAAAACATGTAACTTCCTCCTCACCTTTCCGCCATTTTGTTTTGTCGTGCTCTCGCGTGTTTCCTGTTAATCAATTTCAAACATTTTCACTCAATTTTAATATTTCTACCCTGTTTGGGATTAATTGACTTGTTCTCGCCCAATGAGTATGGTAAAGTAAAGTTTTGAATGTATATTATTACGTAACCAACTTATCATCCAAACGACGTTTTTACTTAGATTTTTTTACCTTGTTTGTTTGGGAATTTTCGGTAACTTGGAATAATGAAATACATGCGACAAAAATTCTAATAGTTATAAATATGATAATAATGGTGATAATGATGATGATGATGAGTACTAAAAAATTTTAAATAATACTGAAATTAAGGAAGCCTCCCTGAAACAATTAGATTGTGATCGAAAATATGATGAGTGTGCGATGTACTTCCTAAACAGAGCGAATATGTTCATTAATTTACACTGGAATGTACATGTGACAAAGTAAAACAACATCTTCCAACAACATTGAGTATATTATTATCCAAACAATATCAGAATAAAGAAGCTGGCGTGGAGGAAAATCTCGCACACTTTATTATAACATAACCACATTGAAACTGTTATAAAAAATCATAGGCGTGTTACAGAAGGTCAAAATCAAATGACTTACAGTTTTCTAACTTGTGGTGAAAACTTCAATTATGCTAAAACCTATTTAACCAACTTGCGTAGTTCTATAGAAATTACTGCCTGTAGAACTGAATTCTTAGATCTTTAAGAAATATAATCAGCTCTACCATAAAACGCTTCAAAGCTTCAAGTAAGGCCCCTTTTTGCCCTGAAACCTAGAAGATGGGCTAATAATCTAGTTCGATTAAAGTTAGAAGCATGCTCCCTCCATCTTCCCTTTCGATGCACAAGTCAGGCCTTTTCAATCATTTTTCATTAATTGGGAAGCCTCAATTCAACTTGATAATCTCCATATCATTTGTCATTGATAGGAACAACGTGACCTTGTCTCTGCTGTTGACAACGTATTCTAAATAGAGTAATGAAAGCTCTGCTATAGCCTGATATTTTGATAAGGTATAATATGGGGTTAATGAGAGAGTTCGCGTGAACTAACAAAATGAAAAAGTCAATTAAACGAAAAGGTGGCGTTACCAAATAGTCAGAGGCTTCCATGACAACCCAGGTTACAAAGTAAAGAAGCCACAATGAAAGAGAAAGAAATGTTACAATGAACAATGTCGTTGTCAGTTTTCTCTCTCTCGTGGCAGCGTTATGATGTAGACCCTGTGCACCGTAACGAACTTTGACATAAATTGAGGCGTAAGAGATAGGTATTATCGTCAAACAGAAGGCATTAAACAAATTCCATAAGTAAAAGTACTCTACCCTTAATTCTCTATGAGCTATATAAGCCGACGAGATGGCCCCAGCTATAATCCAAGTAACAGCAATCAATGCTTTGAAAATCCACCTCTTTAAAACGCAATGTCTGAATGGCCAGTATGTTGCGTGTAACAGTTCCAAAGAAATGACAATAATATTTGTATAGGTAATCACATGATTTCGAGTGCAATTTGGAATAAATAAGCACGAGTAAATTTTTTCAAAGACTAACAAAATTGCACGAGCCCGTAGGGCGAGTGCAATTTGAGGTCTTTGAAAAAATTAACAAGTGCTTGTTTATTCCAAATTGCACGAGAAAATCAAGTGATTACGTGTTAATAATAAACATGGAAAAATACGAGATGGTCTATCATAATTAAACATAAGCAAAGTGCGCGCGTCAAATGCAAAAAATAATTTATTCAAACCGTGCGTACGATCAAAACAATAATATGCAATGATATCTTCACATCTTAAAGGTGCAAAAAAGTTCAAAGTGTGGCTAAACAATTCAAGGAATTGTTTAGTCTGTGTCCGAATCACTTTCGATGAAATGGAATCGTCGTTTCCGAGG